CATACCACAAAAGCATTTGTTCAACTATGTTCATAGCAGCACTATTTGTAATAGCCAGAACCTGGAAGCAGCCTAGGTGCCCCTCAATAGAAGAATGGTTAAAAAAAGGTGTGGAACATATATACACTAGAGTTTTACTCAGCGGTAAAAAACAATGACATCTTGAATTTTGCATGCAAATGGATGGACATAGAAAACGCTTTACTGAGTGAGGTAAGCCAGACCCCAAAAGAGGAATATGGTATGTATTCACTCATAAGTGGATTCTAGCCATAATTAAAGGTCTTTGAGCCTATTATTCGAGATCCTAGAGAAGCTAAATAAGAAGGTGAACCTGAAGAAAATCATGGACTTATCCTCCTGGAGATTGGAAATAGACAAGAGTCCCAGGTAACCTCGGGTGCATGGGGGGGGGGTGGGAGGGTTGTTGGATGGGGAGAGGGTTAGAGAGAAGGGAGTAGGGGAGGAATGGGGAAAACTCGGGGGACTGAGAAGGGGGAGGGAGGAAGGATGGATATGGGATCAGGGAAGAATGTATCTCAACTAAGGGAGTCATTTTAGGGTTTGCAAGAGACTTGATTATAAGTGGGATCCCAGGTCCAAGGAGAGATCCCCAGATTGTTCTCTGGACAGAGGAGAGGGTGCCTGAACCGGCCTTGGCCTATAACCATATTGATGAAGATTTTGATTATCACCATAGATCCTTCATCCGACGATGGATGGCGATACAGACGGAAACCCACATTGGAGCACCGGACTGAGCCCCCCATGGTCCAGATGAGGAGCAGAAGGGGGAAGAACATGAAGAAAAAACTCAGGACCACAAGGGGTGCGATCACCCACTGATACAAGGGTACTGGTCTGATGAGAGTTCGCCAAGGCCAGTTGGACTGGGACTGAACGAGCATGTGATCCAACCAGATTTTCTGAATGTGGCCAGATTCTCTGAATGTGGCTGGCCTGGAGTCTTTCTGAAAAGCCATTGACAATGACACTGGGACTTGTTTCCTCTGCATATACTGGATTTTTGGGATCCAGTCTGTTTGGATACTCACCTTCCTGGACCTGGAGGGAGGGGGGAGGAACTTGGACTTCCCACGGGGCTGGAAGCCCTGACTGCTCTTAGGGATGGAGAGGGAGGAGGAGGGGGAGGGGGGAGTAGGACAGTGTTAGGAGGAGGGGCGGAAATGGAAACTTTCATAATTTAATAAACTTTGTAAAAAAAAAGAAAGAAAATCTCAGCAAAATTCTTCACTACCTCAGAAAAACAGTACTCAACTTCATATGGAAAAGCCAAAAACCAAGGATAGCCAAAACAATTCTGTACAATAAAAGAACTTCTGGAGGCATCACAATCCCTGACTTCAAACTCTACTACAGAGCTACAGTACTGAAAACAGTCTAGAATTGGCGTAAAACAGAAAGGAGGATCAATGGAACCGAATCAAAGACTCGGATATTAATCCACACACCTACAAACACCTGATTCTTGCCAAGAAAGCAAAAAATATCAAGTGAGAAAAAGAAAGCATATGTAACAAATGATGCTGGCATAACTGAATATCAATATGTAGAAGTATGAAAAGAGATCCATATCTATCACCATGCCCAAAACTCAGGTTCAAATAGATCAAAGACCACAACATAAAGCCAGCCACATTGAACCTCATAGAAGAGAAAGTGGAAAGTACACTTGAACGCATTGGCACAGGAGACCACTTCCTAAATATGGACACTGAGAGAAACAATTAAGAGCTAGGGTCCTCCTTGTGGATTCCTGGGAATTTCTCCCTAACCCCATAACAGCAACAATTAATAAATGGTACCTCCTGAAACTTAGAAATTTCAGTAAGACAAAGGACACAGTCAATAAGACAAAACGGCAATCTACAGAATGGGAAAAGATCCTCACCAACCCCACATCTGATCAAAGGGCTGATCTCCAAAATATATAAGGAACTCAAGAAACTATACACCAAAATACCAAGCAATCCAATTAAAAATGGAATACAGATCGAAACAAAGAATTTTCAGCAGAAGAAACTCAAAATGGCCAAAAGACATTCAAGAGCTTTCTCAACATCTTTAGCCATCAAGGAAATGCAAATCAAAATGACTCTGAGATACCATTTTACATATATCAGAATAGCTAAAATCAAAAACACTGGTCACAGCTTATACTTGAGAGGCTATGGAATAAGAGGAACACTCCTCCATTGCTGGTAGGAATTCAAATTTGTGTAGCCACTTTGCAGGCAAAAGGATAGAACTAGAAAATAATAATAATAAAAATACATCCTGAGTGAAGTAACCCAGACACAGAAAGACAAACACAGTATATACTCACTCATAAGTGGATATTAGAGGTAAAGCAAAGGATAACCAGGCTACAATCCACAACCCCAGAGAAGCTAGTTAAAAAGAACTTAAGAGGGACACACACGGGAGGGGGGGATGAAGGGAAAGCAGTTACGATTTCCTAGGTAAACTGGAAGGAGGGTGGAAGGAAGGGGATGGGAAATGGGAACATGAGGAAATTTTAACCACCAAGGTATCTCATTATCTAGGAAAAGTGATTCAGAATGTCAAAAGAAAGTTAACAAAGACAGAAATCTAAAACACTCTGGTCCCTCACATAAATAAGTAAAAAAGATAGATAGATAGATAGATACATAGATAGATAGATAGATAGATAGATAGATAGATAGATAGATAGATAGATAGATGGATGGATGGATGGATGGATGGATGGATGGATGGATAGATAGATAGGTAGATAGATAGATAGATAGATAACCAACAACCTGTATTTACAGCAGTAGAAAGTGAGCCAAATTTGGGCTGTGAGGCTTCAGTGTCCCTGGTATAGAGGGATGCAGCAGCAGACAGGTGTACCTCCCTTATTCTTTGCTTGTAGCGTGTGTTCTCTCTGATACCTTTCATTTCACTTAATAACAAGCAGACCTGGGTTCCTTTGCACCTGCTAATAGGAAATAATCAACTATAACATTTATGAATATTAGTGTTTGCTTGAAACTAAGAAAAGTAACTGTAAAGCTTGAATGTGTATCCTACGCTGGTGAAGTATAACATAAACTCTACTGAGTTCTCTCAGAATTCACAGACTAAGACACCCTAATCTTGCCCTTATAGTTTCTAAAAGCTGGCCGTGTCAGGGAAGGTGCAGAGCCTTGGTAAACACTATCTATGTTAGCCTGTGTCTTTTTATAGGTGAGTTGAGTTTTTTTATATTAAGAGATATTAATGACAAGTGATTGCTATGTCCTGTTAATTTAGTTCTTTTGGTAGTGATATTATTTTGTGTTTATCTACTCTTTGGAATTTGCTGTTATGAGATCATCAATTGTTTGTGTTTTTCTTCATGTAGCCAACTTTCTTGGGTTGGGGTTTTACTTCTAGTACTTTGTGTAGGGCTGGGTTTGTGGCTAGGTATTGTTAAATCTGGTTTTGTCATAGAATATTTTGTATTGTCCTTCTATGGTGATTGAAAGTTTTACTGGGTATAATAATCTGGGCTGACATCTGTGGTCTCTTAATGTCTGCATAATGCTTGATCAGGACCTTCTGGCTTTCATTGTCTCCATTGAGAAGTCAGGTGTAAATCTGAGAGGTGTACCCACTGCTGATGGCATCTGTGGATCTCTGCATCACCAATCAGTGCTACAGCCTTCCCTACCTTAGGTGTTTCTTTGCTGTTGTTGTTTTGTTTTGTTTCGTTTTTATTAATTCTGCCTGAGAAGTCTTAACTGTTGGGGAATGTGTATTGTGTTTGGCTATGCTCCTTCCAAGTACAGCAGGCACATTTACACGCTACCCTGGCTGCCCTATCCAGGAATCAGTTCTCAGCTGTCCAGTCCTTTCAACATCCCCTGCTGAGATCTGACCTTGACCTAAGAATCACGTTGGATCTACCAAGGCCTGCTCAGACCAGCACACGATGCCCCAGTGCTTTTTCCTACGCAGATACTGTCCTCTCAGAAGGCCCCAACACTGGAGCTTTAAAGAAGAGGTACCAGCCAAAAGGGAGCTCGTTAACTTAGTCTCCTCCTTGTAAGGTGGGTCAACTATAGCATGGGGCATGAAAGAAGAGGAGGGAAGCTGATGTAATTTGGACTGATGGCTTTTACCGTTGCTGCCCCATTCCTGAAGAATTAGAGAAGATGATAGGGTAAGACAGTTATGAGCTTAGCAAGACCTTGGTGCCAAGTTGTTTCAAGCACAGGCAAGACAGAAACTCTGGATCTGCTGCTAACTCCAACTGTCATAGAGAGACAGTGTTCTCTAGAGACAGTGTTAGGTAGGTCTTGGAAATTAGAACTGGGTTGCCCTGATATGGCCACATGATGTTTGGTTTTCTTTGTTTGCTTACTTGCTTGCTTGCTTCTCAGTATCCCAGAACACCCCTAACGAGTTTAATATTCAGTCAGAAGATTCTCGACACAGTCAAGTCTGGTGATTGTGTCACTGATATTATATTGATTCAAAGTCCTCACCTCTACTTCATGAGAGAATAGAGATTTCCTTCCCCCTTTTTCTCCAGTAATGTCTAGAAATCTCTAGTGGCCCCATTTTGGTTGGTTTTTCATCTTTAAAAAAATAAATGTGAATGGAATTGGAGGTAAGGAGTGTCTTTCTCAAGAGATGTAAAAATGTCCCCATACTAAACTAACATAATTGTACACACAGAATAGTAACTTCTGCTCCTCTTAAGTTTCCTGAGTACTCACAGATCTGTCACTGAACTCAATAATTGCACTCTTTTGAGCTTTTAGATTATTATTCAAAGTTCAATTTTTCCCATATATTTATTCTTGAAGTGGTGTGCAACAGGTTGTTAAAGTGGAGTGTGCAGTGGGTTGGTTGTCTTTCAGCAGCTGTCTTAGCATTCTGATGATGTCTCCTGGGGTGATTGTAGCACAAGGTGGTGTCCTGAGCCGGCATCTCAGAACAGCATCCTAAGGCCGTACCAGAAGGAAAAAATGGTCAAATATTTCCAGGTACTGTGGTTGTTTTTGTTCTTCATCATGCTACAACTGGTGCTCCTATCTGGTAAGTAATTTCGCTTTTTTCCATCAGATATACAAAGTTTTGTGAGTGTTAACAATGTAATTCTCAAGTAAATGTTTTGAATTAAAATGACTGTAATGAAGCATGTATATGAATATAGGTCCAAACACCTCCATACATGCTTGGCCACACATACATGCTTAGAGAAACAGTGGGTCAGACTCTGGGCCAGAGAGTTGAAGTTTTTGGTTTTCCTGTATGTGATATGCATGTTGGGGGACCTAGAGCATAGGGTCAAGGGGACTCTGATATTCAGGAAGGTAGTGAGTAAAAGTGACCAGCAGGATATCTTTATGCAATGTTTGAAATGCCTCCCAGTGATCCCCAGTGGCTGAGAATCCCTGTGGTCTCTCTAGAGCACAGATCATGCTGGGAATCACAAGGAGAATCGCATTCTGGGTTTTTCACACATCTATCACAAATTACTGAGCTCAAGAAGGTGTCGTTTCCCTTCCTGCAAAATGCAGGGTGCAAACCACAAAAAAAAATTATAAAGTCCTGACCTTTCCCCTTTCTCAGCTGCCTACTATACCAATCCTCTCCAGCTTGGCAAGTATTAATCAAGGAAAGCATTTGATGTTCTGGAATGGCAACTTCCCTAACAGTGATGTACTGTTCCCCTCTGCTGGTGATTTACAGGAGCCAAGTGCCGGTTCATATCTTAAAGGGAATGAAAAAATAAATAAAAGAAATATTATTTTCAGTTACTTCAAAATTGCATAGTAAGAAATTGGAGCTTTTTTTCAAGTCAGTAGATTAGACTATGATTTATTAGGAATTAAAGTCTGTAACATATTTATGTATTCTCTAGTTCCAGGTGCTCGAGTTTGGTGGCCCCCACATGGAGTTATTAAGGTAATTCCCTACTAGGTTTTTCTAGGACTCAGATTTGAATACAATTTTTCAAAGATTCTTAAAATAAATTGTGTATGAGTGTTTCACCTGTTTCTATGCAAGTGTATTATACATTGCCAGGTGACCACAGGAGCCAGAAATATGCACTGAACCTTCTGGAGCTGGAGTTACCAATTATTGTAAGCTTTCAGAAGGTGCTTGGAACTGAATCTTGCTCCTTTGCCAGCAGCAAGTGAGCAGCAAGTGCTTTTAAACACTGAGCTATTGCTCTCCAGGTTCTGAATCAAACGTTTTAGTTTTTTTTTTTTTAGAGTGAGATTGAAATATTTATTTAGGGGGTTATGGATGAGAAAGGGGAAGGTAACAGAGATAGAAAGAGAGAGGGAGAGGGAGAGAAAGAAAGAGAGAGAGAAAAAGAGGAGAGAGACAGAGAAGGGCCCAAGAGAGAGAGATGCGGGCACATGCCAAGAGCATGTTTTAGTTTTTTAATTTTATTTATCTATTCTTTGAAAATTTCATGCAGGTACATTATGTGTCTTCATTTCGTCTACTTCTGCTCCCTTTCTAACTTCCCCTACTAACTTCCTAATGTTTTTGGTTTTTTTTCTTCAAAATTCACTAAAACTACTGGTGCTCATGGATACATAGGTTCATAGATTGCCCCTGTTCCAGTGAAGCTTAGTTTGTTTCTTTTTTTTAAAAAAAAACATTATTTCAAAAGTTTACCAAGACAATAAAACCTATAAAATTCTTTGAGGTCTATTCAGATGAAGGTTACAGGTCCACCATTCATTAGGGTCTACAATAGAGTGATCTAAACTGGGAACCAAGCCAAATATAGACACACATACACACACGCACACACCCAGAGAGAGAGAGAAAGAGAGAGAGAGAGACAGAGAAAGAGACAGACAGACAGAAAGAGAGACAAAGACAGAGACAAGAATATCCCACGGTGTCTGGAAACTCTTTCTGAATTCTAACACTTTCCAGTTGCTAGCCATGAGGAGTTCTAAGACCCATGAACATGAGTGTCCACAAAGTCCCTGCTCTGGAGGAGTTGTGCTTCTGTGGAGAGAATAGACAGAACACATTCTCTAGGTTGAAAATATGGAAAACAGTAATCTCTTGTATTCTGGAAACAGAAAAATGTATAGGAATCTCTGAGCAGAGGCTCCAATTACGTCTGCAGCTTGTGTTTCAGTCAAACAGAAGAGTGTTTTTTCCTTTTTGTCTATCTTGCCCAAACTTGTGTGTATTGTGGGTCCACCAAATGTTTGATTAGTGAAAGGATAAATTAAAGGTTATTTCTTTTGTGTTTTTGTAGATTTGCTGCAGGTCATTCTTTCACTTTAGATGTACTTGTGATTTAAGCTTTGTTTCCTTCATGAATTTAGATGTTTTCTTTTCCCTCACTGTAGCTTACCAGGGGAGCTCCTGACCACAAGACATGATACTTATCAGACCACAAAACAATACTTATCAGAAGAGATGTACATAGATTCCAGTGTCCTTGCTTTATGCAGATAGACTAGGAGAGCCTTGTGACACTTGAATGTGGTTGTGACTTGCTTAGATGCTATTAGTGCAGTCTCCAAGTGACCTGGTTTTTGAGTATGGTTCTAATTATACCTTTTCCTGCTCAATTTCAGATCAAGTGTCCTTATAAGAAAGTAAATTTGAGCTGGTTCAATAAAACAGTGGATCCATGTCCAGGCTTAAAGCAACCCATCTGTGGCACCAATTTTGTAACCTACGATAACCCCTGCATCTTATGTCTTGAGAGCTTGTGAGTGCTCTGTGGGGGCAGGGGTGGGGAAAAGAACTAAGACTAAGTTTGTTAGTTGTGATTTCTATCAACCCTACATCCAGCAGCCATGAACATGGTCTTCTTTTCCCATTTGCGGAGATAGCAAACAGCCTCTCCTTAGAAGAGCCATAGTATCAGAAGGACTACTGGCGTATAAGGTGGACCCATTAGACAGAACAGTGCCTGCTGAGTTTTTTTCTCTGAGTCCTGATATTCCCATGTTAGATGGATTCCCTGCAGAAATTCTGAAACACCTCCAATCCTCACCATTTCGATTTTTAGAACAAATTTTACTCTTATCTTCTGTTAGATATTTTATGCTGCTTCTATGTCTATAACTTTCAACTATAATAGCGGGACAGCAGAAGTTGGTCCACTGCCTGTAATGGATGACTCAGATCCTTGTATTTACATGACGGGAAATCGGTCATTTGGCACCTAGATTGCAATGCCATGGAGAGTTCAGCTTTGATCTATGTGAGGCAGGATAGTCTACAAGAAGAAAACCATTCCTGCGGTGTCAGATTGGAGCCCTTCCACTAGTAACCCTTTAAGAATCGTGTGCAGGAGCAAAAGAGACTACACAAAGCCTGAATCATCCCCGTAGTTACTAATCCAGCAGCAGGGAGAGACTGGTGCACAAATAGCTGAGGGCACTTACACCTCATACATCCCAAACTCAGGCCCAATTGGACAAATTAGTTCCCAAAGGTCGTCCGTAGCTTCAGGGGCAAATGCCCTGGCCTTTGGTCTAAGCAGTTCCCTTTGTAGACTGTCTCTTAGTTCCCCAAAGTAAAATGTCTTAATGAAATAATTATTATGCCTCCCTTTAGGAAGTCTCGTGGGAAAATTAGATTTTATCACGATGGAAGGTGTTAGGTGAGTGAATTTAGGTATCTTCCATTCCTGACCAGCACAACCACTTCCTTCTCATGATTTACACCCCCCCCAACTTTGCCTTTCCTTGCATAGATTCTTGATGACAAAGGCCTGTTAGAAGTTGATCCCTCCGGAGTCCTTCTGTGTTTTCCTTAATATATAAACTATTCTGGCCTGGAGATGGAGCTCACTGGTAAATCACAGTCTCATAGGTTGGAGGACCCTGGGATCAATCCTGATCACTACCAATAAATAAACAAACGTTCCTTAACATCTTGGCTTGTGTCTTGGATCTATGTCCTCTATTGGTGTGGGAGAATTGTCTGTATTCTGTCAATCATATTTTAATAAAATGCTGATTGGCCAGGCAGGCAGTATAGGCGGGAAAGCCAGACAGGAAGTAGGGCTGGAGCAATGAGACTGGGAATATTCTAGCAAGCAGGAAGCTCCCTCTCCACTCCTGCGCAAACCACTGAAGCAGCAACATGTAAGCTGACAGCTGAAAAAGGTACCAAGCCATATGGCTAACATAGATGAGAATAATGGGTTAATATAAGCTATAAGAGTTAACAAGAAACCTGAGCTAATGGGACAATCAGTTTATAATCTTATGGAGTCCTGTATGTGCTTTTTCCTTGGGGTATGCCGGTTGTGGGGTACCAGGTGGGACAGAAACCCCAACAAGCCAGCCCCTCATGTTACAACCGGCCCTCGTGCTACAAATGGCACCCAGATGTGGATAACTGCATCCACAGAAAGCCTGAGAAAGCTTGGGAAAAAATAGAGTCAAGCATGTTTTGTTGGTAGCAGCAATTTCTTGGGTCTGCTCTGCTTGCTAGAAGAAAGCAAGCACTCTCATCTAAGAGAGGCTTCCTGACTCAGTTTTAGCTGCAAAACCCTGCAGGTCTTTTAAGAGGTCCTATCACGAGACACTTAAATGGTCTTGATGAAAAGCTGAACGCATGCTTTTTGGTTTTCAGCCGTAGCAGGAAAAAAGCTGTGCTGTTTTAAAATGCTGGCTGTCCTGCCAGAGCAAACTCTGACATTTTCAGGCAGGCAGTCTGACTAAGTGTGGTCTGTGAGCAGAATGCTGCAGCTTGCTTGCTTGCAGGGACCTTGAAACGCCATAGAGTTGTGGCAATAAGAATGGCTACAGCTGGTACCTCTGCCATGAAGCCGGAAAACTAAGGAATGGGCTGGATCCAGTCATCAAAGCCACGGCTTTGATCTCCTTAAAGATTCACGTAGTCAGAAAAAGAGAGAGAGATACAATAAAGAGAGGCTCAAAGACAAAGAAAACCTCTAAATGGTTTACTGTGTGTTAAAAATATATGCAAGACAAAAGTTAAAGTTCTTAAAGTAAAAAAAAGAAAGAGAGTAGTTGGGTGTGGTGGTATACACCTTTAATCCCAACACGAGGGAGGCAGAGGTAGATTGACCTCTGTGACCTCAAGGTGTGGTAGCACACACCTTTAATCCCAGCACTGGGGAAGCAGAGACAGAGGTATCTCTGTGAGTTCAAGGACAGCCTGGTCTACAAAGTTATTCCAGGACAAAGATATACAGAGAACCTGTCTCAAAAAGTTAAAAGTAAAAATAAAAGAAATAGAGGTTGAAATAAAGCCGCACAAAGATGGAAAATACACAGAGAATCTTGATACTGTATGCTATTATGCTCTCTTTTAATTGTTTGAATGCTGAGGAAGGAGCAACAGTCGCCAAAAGACATTTGCTTATAAATGCTGCAGAACTAATCTAAGATAGGTATTTTGAAAATACCTTGGCTTCAAAATTGAAGTCAAAAGGTATGTTACTTTCGAGAAGAGATTTTGCTTTTGTTTCCACAGAAAATGAGAGGCTGTGGATTCATTCTGAGTTAAGAAAAATCAGGTTCGAAAAAAGAAGACAACCTGAGAAATCTCCAATAGGAACAGATGGCCCAGATGACAGAGTTCTACATCCAGAACAGATTCAAAACTGCTGCCTGAGATGATCAAGACTCACAGGATACTCCAGTCAGGACTTGATTATAACTCTAAATTTTCTTTAGGTCCCCATAAGATCATCAGTGCCCCCAACCAGCAGAAAGTAGCCTGAAATACTACGCCCACATTCCCAACAAATGGATTATGGGTATTTTCCTTTGTTTAAAAAAAAGAAGAGAGAGAGAAATGGTGTGGGAGAATTGTCTGTATTCTGTCAATCATATTTTAATAAAACACTGATTGGCCAGGCAGGCAGTATAGGCGGGAAAGCCAGACAGGAAGTAGGGGTGGAGCAAAGAGACTGGGAGTATTCTAGCAAGCAAGAAGCTCCCTTGCCATTCCTGTGCAGATCACCGAAGAGACAACATGTAACCTACCCCACTGGAAAAGGTACTGAGCCATGTGCTAACGTAGATAAGGATAATGGGGTAATATATGTTATAAGAACTAATAAGTAGCCTGACCTAATGGGCCAATCAGTTTATAATCTTATGGAGTCCAGTCTGTGATTTTCTTTGGGGTTTGCGGCTGTGGGGTACCGGGCTGGACAGAAACCCCAGCAAGCCGGCCCCTCCTGTTACATATGGCGCCCAACGTTCCTATGTGTGATTTTCCTTTGGGGCTTGCCAGTTGTGGGGTACTGGGCGGGACAGATACCTCAACAAGCCGGCCCCCTCATGTTACACTCTATAGTACTTACTAGTAGAGCAGATTGAACATTTGCACTATAGGTCAAAGACAGACAATATTTTTATCAGCTGTTTTAGCATTTTCAACAATGTCCTGATTTATATAAAACCTCTAGGGCCTCCCCATATCAAATTTCTCTACATTCCATTATCATCTTAAAAATTAAACAGTTTATAGAACACTGTGGCCTTCCTAATCAATCTCTGCTGCCCAGCTTTTGTAAATCCCTCTTTAAATATTTGAACTTTCACTATTTATGTCTTTTTGATATGTAGTCTTGCTGTGTTGCCCCAGTCGGCCTTATGCCCAGACTGGTCTCAAACCTGAAATTCTCCCGCCTTAGACTCCCAAGCAGTTGGAATAACAAGAGTGTGTCATTGTGCCCATTTGTATCAAGGTCTTAGCCTTGATACAGAGGCATCTATACATGTCTAACATGGCATGGTGTTTTCAATGATCCTACCTTTTCCACAGAAGATACATGAATTGTTCATAGCTATGAATAACCCGCTGATTTTTTTTAATTCTGAAAACAAAGTTTATTCTTTGGAACATATATAAAACATGTCTCTCCAGGTCATAATAACTCATTGTGTGCATGTCCACGTGTTTTCACGTGTTTTCTAGGATGGTCAGCAGGCTCACAGGCACTCATGTGCTATCCTCCGTGGTCACATCTGCCCTGGGAGAAAAGTGACCTTTTAACTTGTCGGTGCTCTGCAAGCTGTGCCAGCATGCTGACTAGGTGGCGCATGAAGGACTGCAGTGAAAATGAGATCACCTTGGAGCTTTCATCTTCAGAATTTGAAAACAAAGAGCCCTGGGGGAAGAGGAGGTATTCTGCCTTCATAGAGTGCCAACTCCTGTGACATTAAGTTCTTGGTACAGGGACATAGAGAGCTGAAGGGAGGATTGTTCCCAACACCACTGATTCTCTATCACCTTCATGAATCTCTGATATAAAAGTATGAGTCCCACATTAAGGTCACACAGTGAATCTTTTATTTTAAGCAGGCACTATTGGCGTCCTATGTAAGACCTGGGCTCTGTTTTCTTTTCATTTGCATACTTCTCTCCTCCATGGAGAGCAACCTACAATCTGTTGACCCCTTTGCATAGCATGGTTCGGCGCAGTAGCCATTTCTGTCTCTCCTTCCTCTCAGTTCTGTGTCCTCTGTTCAGGATAGTTCCAAATAGGTTACTCTCTCCTTTTCTTAGAATATCCCCGAATGTGAATGCCTAGGTCAGATAACTTGGTACTCAAAACCAATACCCTTCAATGTCTTGTGTCATTTAATCTAATGTCTTGTTGATTTTTTTTGCATACTACATCACTAATAATTTCTCTAGAAACACATTATCAGAAAGGAAAATAAAATGTCTTTGTTATGCCACTGTCCTTTCTTTCCTCTAGAATTTTCTGAAGTTTTCACTAGAACATAATGTTATTCTTTTCCTAAAGAATTCCAAAAGACAAGACTGTTTTGTAAGAGTACAGTTGACTTTAGTAAACAGAGACTCATATCTGTAAAATATGCTACACATAACTGGTCAAAGGCTTTGATAGCATTTTTTTTCTGTAGACATTTTTGAAGAGGGAGAAGAACAGCATGCATTGAAATGCGAGGTTGTCTTCTCCTGTGAGTCTTTGCCTCCCCTTCTCTCACCACTGCAGAGCAGAAAGTCATCTCTGCCTTGAGAATTCTGACTCCAGCAGTCGCCGGTCACAGCCCTCACTCTTCTTCCCTCCTGCACTCACTCCTTCCTTCTCTTCCTCCCTTTGTCCTCCTCTCCTCCCATTCCTCCAGCTCCTTTGTCTCTTGCATTCTCTCTTGTCTCTCATCTGATACTAGATGATTATTTTTCCTCTTTGATACTTTGTTTGAAATCTTTAAACATATCAGTTTTCAGCGTTATGGCTAAGACAAAATGTTTTCATCTCAAACTATAACTTAATCCTGTCATTCCTAATCACTTCCAGACTTAGCTGCTCTTATCTTACCCTCCCATGACCTTGGACTGAAAGTCATCCTAACCTAGTCTATGCACCTTAAATATCTACATTGAGACCACACCATCATCCTAGTACCAAATATTAGATGTCTTAATTTCTTTGACATATGGAACCTTTAATCATTTTATACAATATAAGTCCTGTTTTCTTCTTATAAATTGGATCCTGCATGTTTTCACACAATAGAAATTAAGTGTTCTCTACGTTCTTAATACTAAAGATGAATGTCTAACCCTAATGTCTACATATTCTTATATCATCATAGGTATGGATTATGTTATACTTTCAAGTATTTATTTGATCCAAACTAT